TGGGAGTCAGGCCATGTTCAACATCACTAATCATCAGGGAAGTGAAAATCCAAACCACAATGAGACATCACTCACATCTTTTAGAATAGCTATTATCAAAAAGACACAAAAAAACATGTTGGTGAAGATGTGGAGAAAAGGGAAGTGTGTGCACTGTTGGTGGGAATGTAAATTGCTACAGCCATTATGGAAAACAGTATACAGGTTCCTCAAAAAATAAAAAATAGAATTACCGTATGATCTAGCAGTCCCACTTCTGAGTACACAAAATTAGTATCTCAAAGAGATATCTGCCTTTCCATGTTCATTGCAGCACTATTCAAAATAACCAAGACACTGAATCAACCTAAGTGTCTATTGATGCATGGATAAAGAAAATGTGTATACACACACACACACACGCACACGTATATACACATATTATAAGGGAATATTATACCACCTTAAAAAGGAAGGAAATCCTGCCATTTGTGACAACATGGATAAACTTGGAGGACATTATATAAGTTAAATAAGCCAGACCCAGAAAGGCACATACTACATGATCTCACTTATATGTGGAATCTAAAATAGTTGAACTCATAGAAGCAGAGAGTTGAGTCATGGTTAACAGGGGCTGAGGGGTGGGGGAAATGGGAAAATGTTGGTCAAAGGATATAAAATTTCAGTTGTGCAGGATGAATAAGTTCTGGAGATATAATGTACAGCATGGTGAGTGTAGTCACTAATACTGTATTATATACTTGAAATTTGCTGAGAGTAGTTCTTAAATGTTCTCACCACATACATACACAAAAGGTAATTATGTGAGGTGATAGATATGTTCATTAGCTTGACTGTGGTAATCATTTCACAATGTACATATATATCGAAACATTATGTTGTACACCTTAAAATTGTACAATTTTTTATTGTCAACTATACATCAATGAAGCTGGAAAAAAAGACAACCTCAAAGGGTTACAGAATATACTGTATCCTAAACTAAGTTTCTCCAAAGGGAGGTGTATACATTCTAAGTGGTGTGCAAGACAACATATTGGGATATGGGAGGAAAACAATTCATTTTCATGTTTTTAATCTAACAAATTAAGTTACTAATATTTTATCCATGAATTGACACTCATGCCCTCACACATTCTGTCTTTATCACAGATGGCTGCATAAAAGCAGTGTGAGAGTGGGAATCCTACAGCATGTAGGAGGAAGACAGGGCACCCTTGTTAGCTTGTTCATTTGCTTGTTTACTTTAAGCATATGTGACATTTGCAGTATATGTGAGCCAGCTAAAGGATCAATGGATATTATTAAATATTTATTATATATTATCTAATTTTAACATGCCTATCACAAAATGAATAAGCACCTTAAAAACACGCCTTCCAAGAAACCAGAGATTGAAATACCAACAGTGTAAGCACAAACCAACAGAAAATACCAGCACTAACACTTCTATATTCCTTCATTGACTTCATTAGGAATTAAAAACAATAATTTGATCAGATCTGATAATTTAATGTCACCCAAACCCATTAAAAATTATCAAGATTATTTGAAAAACCAATTTATATCCATTATTGCCCTAAATATGTCTTGAGATATTAGCTATTGAGAGTATGAAGCTATTATAATTAGCAAAATATTTAAAAATATATTTATCATGTCCTTCTAAACATTCTATTCATATATTAGTATAGTAGGAGAATGTTTACGGGGGGAAATTCAAAATTTTTTAATTATTTTATTTTTGTCTTTTTTGTGACCGGTAAGGGGAACGCAACCCCTTGGTGTGGTGTCACCCACACCGCGCTCAACCAGCGAGCGCACGCACCAGCCAGTCCTATATAGGATCCGAACCCATGGCGGGAGTGTCGCTACGCTCCTAGCGCCACACTCTCCCGAGTGCGCCACGGGCTCAGCCCCCAATTTTTTTTTTTAACAATAAGAGTGTGAATCAAAAAAGTTTGGAGATTATTGTCCAAAACAACCACATTTCCCTTTATGGGTCTGTAATTTATAATTTAAATTTTTAAAAGTTAGCATCACAGGAAGGAGATTGGTGGTTGCCAGGGGCTGGGAAGAGGAAGGAGTGGGGAGTTATTATTTGAGTATAGTTTCAAAATTAGTATCACAGGAAGGAGATTGGTGGTTGCCAGGGGCTGGGAAGAGGAAGGAGTGGGGAGTTATTTGAGTATAGTTTCAATTTCAAAGATGAAGAGTTATGCAGATCAAAGGTGGTGATGGTTGCACAACATTTTGAGTAATATATATATATTTGTGTGTGTGTGTGTGTGTGTGTGTGTGTGTGTGTGTGCGCGTGTGACCAGTAAGGGGATTGCAACCCTTGGCTTGGTGTCGTCCACACCACGCTCAGCCAGTGAGCACACCGGCCATCCCTACATAGGATCCGAACCTGTGGCAGAAGCGCCGCTGCGCTCCCAGCGCCGCACTCTCCCGAGTGAGCCACAGGGCCGGCCCACATTGTGAGTATATTTAATAACACTGAACTATATACTTAAAAATGATTAATTTTTGACAGCTGGCTGGTATGGGGATCCAAACCTGTGACCTTGGTGTTATCAGGCTGCACTCTAACCAATTGAGCTAACTGGCCAGCCCTTTCTAGGTCAAGATGGTAAGTTTTACGTTATGTGATTTTACCACAATAAAAAGTTGGGGGAAAAAGCTAGCTAGAAAAAGATTTTTAAATGTAGTAAGTGTTACACATTCCTAATTTAAATGCAACTAGACCGCAAACTTTTCTAAAAAGGGTAAACCAGTTCCTTTTTTGAATTCCTTTTTCTTCAGTAGGCCAAAAATCTTTCATAGAAAAGCAACTCTCTCTTCTCCCCTCCACCCCAATCCTGTATCACCTTAAGGGCAACAATCTCTATAATGCCCACCATGTACAATGCTGTTATTTCCTGCAAGCCAGGGAAAGAAAGGAGAAACTGAATCATAAAGTTTCCTCTTCAAGCACCTTCTCACTAAAGCTTTGTAGTTCCAGACTGAAGAGGCCTTTTTTATTGAATCTTATAGTCTAATCCCTAGGTCATTTGCGCTGTTTTTCTCTTAACCTTCTACAGTCCTCGATCAGAATGGCACAAAATATTAAATGTAGCAAGCATGGTGATTGCTTCTTTTTTGTTGAGTATGTGTTAATATGAACATACCTTACAGAACTATTCCATACTTAGGGACAAAATGGTTTACATTTATCAATATTCAAATGAGCACTAGCTTTGCAAAACCTGAAACCTTATTTTACACAGTATACTGTAATATAATCACATTACAATATACTGTGTAAATTAAGGTTTCAGGTTCTGTAAAGCTAAATGCTCATTTGAATATTGATATATATAAACCATTAAGCACACCTAGAAAGTCTATGGAACTGAATTCTTTCTCCAAACATACTCAAGAGGAAATTATTAGATGCATTTTTAAAAGCTCAATTTGATTTTAAATACTTTTGCTTGAGTTAGTCATTACTGTTGACTGACACCTAATATAAAATTACATCTACTAAGCACAGTAAAATTCTTCAGCTCACTTGATAAAGCAAGCTGGTCTCTTCTTCCTTAATTTTGGGCACTATCCAAATTCTGACTGCTCAAAACAAAAAGACAGAACAAATCCATCTCTGATCAAAATCACACACACCCACACACAAAAAGGTACCTTGAAAAGATTTGTATTATCTTTCAATTCTATTTCTCCATGGACCTTGTATGCAAAACTACTGAAGGGTGGGAGACTTATTTTCCTCTCCTCTTTTTAAGGGTTGTTTAAAATTCTATCAATGAATTGAGGAGCTTTTATTTTACTGAAACATTTTATATTTATTTAATTCATCTGCTCTTTGAATTAAAACTATAAAATAAAATATACTAAATACAGCAATTACAAAAAAACACACTTTAGTTCCATGTTATGTGTGGTATGCAGACTTTGGTATTGCAGGCCAAGATTCTCATCCCCTCACCCCTTGACTGTGGGTGGAATCTGTGAATATGATGGGAATGTAATGTTACCTTACATAACAAAAAGGATTTTGCAGGTACAATTAAGGTTAACTTTGAGTTAATTGAAAGGATAATTATCTCATTGGATATGAGCTAGTCACTTGAACCCCCCAAATCTGGGTCTAAAAGTCAGAGATAGAGGAAGTTAGATTCAAAATGTGGAATTCTCCTGCTTGTCTTGAAGGAACCAACCACTGTGTTGTGAAGTTATGTGGCAGGGCACAGCTGTCCCTGATCAACAGCCAGCAAGAAAACAGGGTCCTCAGCCCTATGACCACAAGGAAGTAAATTCTGCTAACAATCTGAATGAGCCTCAGATGGTGGTATAGCAATCCTGTCTGATTAACTGATTCCAGAAGTGTGAGACTCTGAGAAGAGAAACAGTTGGGCTATGCCTGGACTTCTGACCTACAGAATTGTGGGCAAATTAATGGGTGTTGTTTTAAGTTGTTAAATTTGTTTTGATTTGCTATGCAGCTATATAAGCTATATATACATATATTTATATACAAACATATATGAGAATTTATATATGTAAAGAAAACGGAGTGAAAATGAAGAAAAAATTGAAAAAAAGCCAACAGTTGGAACCAGCCCAAATATCCATCATTAGATGAGTGGATAAGGAAACTGTGGTATATCTACACAATGGAATTCTACTCTGCTATAAAAAAGAATGAAATACTACCATTTGCAGCAACATAGATGGACTTAGAGAAAATTATATCAAGTGAAATAAGTCACGCGAAAGAGAAATACCACATGTTCTCACTTATTTGTGCGATCTAAAAATAAGGAAACAAACACACAAACAAATAAGGGGGGGAAGAAGACATAACAATCAAACAATTCCTTGAACTTAAGACAAGCGAACAGATATGATAGGGGGGAGGGGAGAGGGGGGGAAGAGGCACTGGTAAAGGGTCACAAAAATCAACTACAATGTATACTGAAATGTTAAAATAAGATAAAAAATAAATAAATAAATTGAAAAAAAGGAGTTAAACTAGTGGGACAGGCCCACAAGGTTGTTGTGTTGTATATTTGGTGGATTCCACATTGGCATGGTTTCAAGATAATCCTCTAGGTACTTGTCCCTCAGAACATATCCTACCTCATTTTACTCCTTTCATCCATTCTATAATAAAGTTTGAATCTGTACTAAACTCTCAGATTTTTTAATGTTTCTTTTGGCACCTTGTAATCCTGAAGACAGTCTTTCTAGTTGCTTCTAGGAGCACTAGCAAGTTAATTTTATTGACTAAGGTAATTGTCATCAAACTTGTTTGAGAAGTGCTTTTGGGGCCTTTGTTAAAATAGAATCCCAGGCCTCCCCCCTAAAAATCAAATTTAGTAGTACTGGGATGACCTTGAACTCTGTTTACAAACAATATCTAAATCATTCTTGTTCTTACTAAGTAGCCTGGAAAACTGGGCACCCAGGAATATATCAGGGTAGCATAAGGAAGGTGGAAAGCATGGTCTCTGGAGAACTGTACAATTCTTAAAAACAATGTCGATATACAAACAAATGCACAAAGGAAGCTACAAATTACAAAGCTGGAAAATACTAGAATTTATATTGCTTCCACTGTTTACCTGTGACATATCATGTCCCATGCCTAGGCATTCTTATTTTTGAAATGTCAGACATATTGTAAAGAAATCATTTTTAAAGTTTTTTTTCCAAGATGCTACTATGGACAGTACATGAAATGGCAAACAACCTTTGTACCACATGTGCTTTGTACCACCAAATTTATTATTGAACATTCAGAACACCAGATTATGACAGATTAAAAAGAAAGCACCAAAAATTGCTACACATTAATACCTGAGCAGAGACTGAAGGCAAATATTCATCTATTAAACCTATATCATAATGTTGAAACACAGGTAAAAACATTCACAACACACTCTGCAGAGTACAATAAGTAGCACATTTTGTGGATTACAACCAGTCAAACGTTAATTGTACCATACAAAAAATACACACAAAATTACACATAAATGTATTTAGTACATCACACATTTGTACAAAGTACTGGAGAAGATCATGCATGTCTAAATGGAAAGATCTGCAAAGTGACAATCATTTTTTCAGTATATACTACAGGAGAAGTTCCTTTACATTGTTAAATATTGTTATTATGCACTGCACTTTCTGGATGAGAACAAAATTATCAATTTGCAAATAAATGATTACTTACTGAGTCTATCTCAGCATAACACATAGTTTGTCCTCTATAACTTTTTAACCTATAAAAATTGATGCAAGTTGAGAGCCATTTATTTTACTTTATTACATACACTTGCCCAAACTACTTCCACGTTAATTTGACCATGCTTTAAGGAAAGACATGTTTTCTTTCTAAATACTTAAGAGAATTTGTCTTTTGGGGAAGGTAGTGGAGGTTAAATAGGAGGAAAGAAGCATGTTGAATTTATGTTCAAAATTAAAATAGAAAAATACAATATACAACAAACTCTGAGTACACAGAAATTGGGGCATCTTTAAGAAGAGACCATGATTGTCTCGTGAATGGAATTATTCGTATTTTAATAGAAATTACATCCATCATTTTAAATAAGCACAGTAAAAATGCAAGCCTTTACATTTAAAAAAAAAAAACCAGAGCCACTTCTCTCTTGATAACTTAGAAATAATTAGGAAGGAAAAGAGAGAGAGAAACAGGGGAAAATAATGGAAAAAATATACTACATGAATCTGGGTTTATTTTAATTACTGAAAAATTATTGTTGGGTAAATTTATTTGATATATACAAATACAAACCTCAATAATCTAAAAAAAAAAAAAGAACATAGGTCTAGGGAAAAATTCATGTCTTTTATTATTCATTAATAAGAAAAAAAATTAGGGGGCCGGCCCGGTGGCGCACTGCTACAGTGCGCCGCTTGGGAAGGCAGTGGCGCTCCCGCCGAGGGTTCGGATCCCACATGCAGACTGGCCGCTCACTGGCTGAGTGAGGTGCGGGCGCAACACCGAGGGTTGTGATCCCGTTGCCAGTCCCGGTCCGGTACGGGCACGACACTGAGGGTTGCGATCCGTTGCCAGTCACGAAAAAAGACAAAAAGGAAAAAAAAAAAAAAGAAAAAAAATTAGGGGCCAGCCTGTGGCTCACTCGGGAGAGTGTGGTGCTGATAACACCAAGGCCACAGGTTCAGATCCCATATAGGGACAGCCGGTTAACTCACTGGGTGAGCATGGTGCTAACAACACCAAGTCAAGGGTTAAGATCCCCTTACCGGTCATCTTTAAAAAAAAAAAAAGACAAAAAATTATATTTGAAGATTAGTTTTTCCATGTATGCTAAGTTCAGAAGTGCCACTACCTTCTCCCCAAATAATTTTTTTTCCCAGAAACTTTAGCCAAACTTAATTTTCTACATCTATACAGCATTAGTCAATTTTAATTTGAAATGAGAACTCTGGAAACTAAGGGAAGCCTCTAGGGCAATAGTTCAGCAAATACTAAGGGAAATACTGGTCAACTTTTATTTTAATATTTTATTTCACCAACCTCAAAGTAAAAGATTGGGGGCCAATTTGAGAAGACCACCCATAATAAAATATACAGTTATAAAACTGCAGGGCATTTCTTTATCATTTTAAGGCACCATCTGTTTTATCCCAAATGACTTTAAGTTCAAGGTCACAGTGATGATAAATATTCAATTTTGGTCTGGTTTCTCAAGGGTATGTTGCTACATTTATAGTTAGTCATAAGTTTACGAAAGTGTAATACAATCACTTCAAAATAATATATTTAAGTCATTGTTATATTTTTTAAAAACGTTAATATGTAATACAATTTTCTAATTTATATACACTAAAAATTGGAGCTTTTCCCCCCTCCACAGTGGAGGAGGGAAAGGTTATTTCTACCAGTTTTCCAACAAATACATATTTGATTATGTAGAAAGCATGATTATGTTAAATACAGGTATCTCCTACTCAGTATAAAATTATTCAACACAGAGGACAAACTCATTCCAAAGAATAACGTACACTGAATTTAGGTCCTGTACATCATCTTTTTACTAATATTACCCATAGTCCCCACTAGATAACTGGATAAATTGTCACTAAATCAAGGCCAAGCATTTCAATATTTGACTTTTTGTGCTGCCTCTTCTCTTTCAAGGCTACTTATGCAAACCACATCAACATTACTGGTCAGAGAAACAGTAAATGATATTAAATGATGAGAAAAACTATAATATGAAGGACTAAAATTTCCTTAGAATTTCTACAGAAAGAAATTAAAACATTTCAAGGAGATAAACATAGCAGTTTCTGAGCCTATCATATTTCTACTGTTCTCATGAGTACAACACCATATTAATGTTAACACTTTAGCATTAACATTTTGATTATTTTATAGTATTATCCTTTAAATGTGAATTTTAAAAGGTTTACTTCATTGTACTATGTTGGGTTTTAGTGGATAATTTTCCCCCTGTGAAATATGTGACTGTATAAAAGGACTGAATGGAAATACATAGAAAACAGAAGAAATTCCACAGTAAACTTTCAATGACATAACTGAGACACCTGTACTAAAAATGACTTATAAAACAAAAACTAATGTTTTACATCACAAAATGAATCTGAAGCAAGATTACTTCAACTAATTGCTCAAAGATCATTATTGGGTAAACTAACTTTCACACAATAAAATCAGCAAACATTCAAGAAATCAGACAAAATGGAACACAATATGCAATAAACCTTGAATTTTTTCAAAGAAAAATTAGGGTACAGAATAAAAGTTTTCATGATTTACACATTTATTATAAGTCCTAGATGAAAAATACAGGAAATATTATTTTTGTTTTAATCCCAATATCCTAAGAAAAGTTCATTGGCACAAATATCCAGAGGTATTTTACAGTTTCATTAAGCTTTGGTGGCAAAGTGTTTTGATAACCATATTAATAGTTATATAGTTTCCAATGCACAGCTTTATGCTAAAAAGAATTCAAATGTGTCTTTTTTTCCTAAAAAAGGGATGTAAAAAGTTCAATATGAAACAGAACAAGTATAACGTGCAATACAAAATATGCCTATCATTTAGGCTTTTGAACAGTTAATAGCTCTATGCTTTGTCTATAAACGTTTTTTTACTAGTAACATTACTACTGTATAAATACTAAAAACCAAAATAACATTAAAAAAAAATAGCACATGAAGTTTACAAAAATGGCTACTTTTAGATTTCCTAAACTAAGATTAGAATTCAAATATGCAAACAAACTTACACTAACTAATCAAAATACACCAACAGATAGTTTTTCATAGGTGTTCAAAATTATAATGTACAGAATGAGTACAGATTGATTCTGACTCATGTATATCAAATCCTATACAAAGTCATCAGAAATTAACTAGTTACTTGGTATTTCAAAACACAGATGTTTTTGGCAGCATGGCAGGCCACTTTCAGAAAGTACTGTACTTTATTTAAAAATTATCAGCCATAGATAATTTAATCAAGATATAGTTTAGAGTATCATCTAACTTTGAAGGACATATGTTATCAATTTAGGTGTACTGGTACATTTATACTATTAGTAGAATAACAGCTTGTCTATTCTCACAATTTCCAAGTTTTATTCTGTTCTCAGAACCTAGTTATCAACACAAAAAATTCTATCTTCTGTATTCATAATATAATTTATCAAAAGAGTGAATTCTTGAACATTTATAGTACACACATTTGAATTTGAATTACTGACCTGACTTTTCTATTATCCTTACCGAAAGTAAAGAATGTGAGTAGCCTTACAGCTTTCCTATTTCTTCAGGCTATTAAAACTTATTGTGATAGAATGCATGAGTAATGTAAAGAAATAAAAGTTTATTATATAATTTGAAACGTTCTTTGTTCAAAAAGTCTGGAATAAAATTTCAGCCCCTAATCATCTCACTATTTTGTAAAAGTGTCTTCTACATTTATCTTATTTGGTACGGAAGTTTTCTGGCAGGGTCTGATTTCATAATAGAAAGATACTTTTAGACACTTGGTGAGTGTCATTCTCTCCAAATTGATTTTCCCCAATAAATTTCACAAAGTATCTTGTTTTCTATGATATACAAGTTCACAAATTCTACACAAAGAGAAAAAAAGTAATGGCCAAAACTAATCAACAAATGCCTAGGAGTGGACAGTTCCAATATAATTTTTTATTTTTCCCAAATGATTTTAATAACCAGTAACTAAAATTTCAAATGCAGCACTATAAAGTTTTATACCAACCCTAATAATAACATGAGACATTACAATAATTTGGAACTAATGTCTAAGATGTCAGCACAGGCCCACTGATTTATCTGGGAATTCAGGAATCAATAGTTGTAGTTTGTATCTCATAATCTTGGTGTTTCCCCCATTTTTCCCAGAGCTTTCAAGAACTAAAGAGAAAAAAAGTAATGGCCAAAACTAATCAACAAATGCCTAGGAGTGGACAGTTCCAATATAATTTTTTATTTTTCCCAAATGATTTTAATAACCAGTAACTAAAATTTCAAATGCAGCACTATAAAGTTTTATACCAACCCTAATAATAACATGAGACATTACAATAATTTGGAACTAATGTCTAAGATGTCAGCACAGGCCAACTGATTTATCTGGGAATTCAGGAATCAATAGCTGTAGTTTGTATCTCATAATCTTGGTGTTTCCCCCATTTTTCCCAGAGCTTTCAAGAACTAAGTTGAAAACTGAGTTTTACCTCCTTTTATTTCTCTTGACCACCTTCCATGAGAGGTGCTAATGAGCAGCAAGGTGCTATAAGTGAGAAGTTTGAAGATTTAAGTATAGAAACCAGATAATGAATAAAACAAATTATCTCATATAAATGAGTGTGTGTGTGTGTGTGTGTAAATGTGTAGTGTCTACATGAGTGATAACTAACAAAAAACACTTACTAGGCCTATTACAGTTCTTTATTTCTTTTCCCTTACTATATAATCATGTAGATGTCAGTATAGTTCACTTGAGAAAAGGTATTCCATTATACACATATCTGAATTTATCTGACTAAAATATGAAAAAAGTAAAGATTATTCAATACATGATCAATATATGTTGAAGGACTCAAAATCAATGTTAATCAGCTGCAAATGATTTTTTATAACGACTGCTTTAAATATTTTCATTCTGGTGATAACCACAAAAAGAGAGTTAGCAGAGCCTGTTTAACTCTGGCATGAAAAAGTTCCAGAAATAAGAGTGCTAGCATTCCTGTCATTTTATCAGTTCCAAATTATAAAAGCAGGAACTCCAGAGGAGGCTCTAGAAACACTGAAAGTACCTACTGTTTTTCCCCGCCCAGTGTATATTTGATCTAATTATCAACAATAGGGGCCAGGAGTTATTTTATAAGCACAAAACTTACTCAAAGCTCAAAAAATGCTGTAACAGCGGAGCTCAGAAATTTGCTGAATTAGATAATCTCTAACTGCCAATAAACAATTTTATTTTTAGTGACATTGCTACTAGGGCTATGCTGTTTTACCAGCTAATAATATAGGTTGCAAGCATGATAGAAACAGTGTGTAATTTAAAGGCAAAGAACTTTTCTCTCAAGTGATAAAAACATCATTTTACTAATCTTCAGACAGAACCTACCTTCTCATCTCTGGTAGCTATTTGGATTTAAAGTGCATCAGGACTTGATGAATACCCTGTCAAAATGTTAAGTATATATATATTGTCTGGCTATATATATATATATATATATATTTTTTTTTAATGGCTAACGACCCAACCACCCTCTACTGTTTATGAAATGTTGAATTAGAATCCTTTTCATAGTCCTTAAAATGAAATATTTTGTTGCCATAAATAAGACTTCAGGACTTGGTGATAACTACACTCAGTGAAAATATTTTAGTGAGAATTAGCATACCTAGTCTGCTGCTTTTAAAAGCAAATGTCCTATTCACAAATGATTTAAGCTTGTTACATTTTATTCCTAAGCAGTACTGACTGAATAAGAAGACTTTAGATCACTTAAACATAATGATTATGGCTGTCAACAGAAGATCCAAATTAATGAATTTTCTAAAGTTCTTTTGGTATATGGACCTAAGTTCAAATTCAGAAAGTTGAATGACATATATAACCTGTAATTTGAGATACAGCTACAATATCTGTGGCAAAACAAAAGATACTACATGTATAAAATTTGTTTTTGTGTACATGCATAGCCAAACATAGGCAGATGTGTTCCTATTTAAATACATATATGGTATACCATGGGACAAGTGTATAATCTAATAAATTCTCTCTCTTTCCTCTCAGGTACTAAACACACGTGCATTTTGTATTTTATCTCTTTTGCTACTATTCTCCAAAAAACAAGAGCTTAGGCTGTCTGCCATGTTTACTGTGAGATCATCACTTTCCTTTAATAGTCTCAGGAAGTGAAAATATGAATGCGAACGATAGGCACGAAGCTGGAAAAGACAACAGTGGAATCAAACTTACAACCCTCAGAGGTGATAGATATCAAGACCCTTTCAACTGATGCTAAAACAGCAAGGACCTGGGAAGAATTGAGAAGAGAAGTGAAGTAACCCTGTACAGGCAGTAAAGGGGGAGTAATCCTCCATAGGCAGTAACAGCTGAAAAGGGTAATGGAATCCACGTGCAACAGCAGATAAAATGGGTATTATTAACAAGGACACAAGTTCATAGGTGCAACTGTGGAATCACTGGGACTTAAGGACTTTACTTGAGAGGTTTTGGGTGTAAACAGTATATACATCTAAAAGAAGGGCTCTGTGAGCTAGGTATATCTCAGAGCCTGAGTTTATTCTATCCTAAGGCGAAGAGTACACTCTTCTACCTTGCTCCACTACCTTCTTCTTACCTCTTATAATTTACAGTAAACAGAAACCCGAAATGAAACAAAAATGTTACTCTCTCATTTGTCAAACAGTAATCCTAGAAGTCACCTTGGCAAATCAAGATTCCACTCTTAAACCCAGTGACTAAAGTCTCCAATTTATTCAGATGTACTGTTTATACTTTTATGCTATTAATGGGGTAACAGCTGTGTACCATTATTCCATTAATAGTATAATTTTAAACATCAAATATGGTACTATACTTGATTATGTTGATTTTTTTTCCCACAGCAGACAAAAATGTTATAAACTTAGAGTAGTTTCCAATCACTGGAATTTAGTTATTTTAACAATCCATCACAACCTGAGGCACTTTTGGCAACCATGGGGGCAATAAATTAAACTAAATGAGATAGACTGACTGAACAAGTGAACTGCTCTAATGCCAGTCAGTAAATATCTATGAGAACTTTCTTTAAATTTGACAATAGATGTCTTTAATAGTATCTTGATATTCACCAAGAAAACATAATAAGATTCATATTTGAAAAGTAACAAGAACATTTCATTAAGTTTTGTATTCAGATCATGTTTCCACCCATCAGTCTTGCATTGGTTACCAAGAAAATAGGTCTCCTTACAATTCAAAGCTCCATTTTCAGTGATGTAAGAAGGCAAAAGATCTACTTTGCTCACGATGGCTGCCAAAAACTGACTAAAGACTCTTCATGGCTATTTCACTTTTGAGAAACCAAACAGTTGTGAATTTCACCAATCTTTTAAGACTCATTTCTCAATATATAAACTATAACAAATACAAAATAAAACACTTTTCAGAAGTCTGATGAAACAAGGAGAATACTTGTGGTGAGATTACAATGCTGCATCTACTAAATCTCTAGGAGATGATCTCTGGGATGGTTCATGAAGCAGACTAGTTGATATGGACAGGAGTCCTCAAAGACAGTGGCCACCATATCCCTTCATTAATTTTTCAAAAATGACTAGTACACGGATGCCACACCACAAAACAAAACCATGCTTCAACTACTTTCCTCAAGCATTATAAAACTAATTTCCTATTTTCAATACTGTAAAAATAGACCTGTCTTCTCCAAAGGACCTTGCTATCCATGTTGATGGATCTGTGTGTTCCCTCTTATTACTGGCCCAAAAGGCATAAATCATTTTTTATCATTCCTTAAGTCCAATCTTACATAAAGTTGCATAACGCATGGAGTAAAAGAGGAATGAAGACAAAGCATGGAACCCTATATAAGTGCGCTGACCCAAAAGCAATCACACCAACAGCCAGAGGAAGTGGAAATTGTGAAGCAGTCTTCAACAATTTGCTGTAAAGAGACAGAGGAATACACATTATCATGTAAACTACATTGAGCTAAAATGGAATATGTCAGTCTTTTATACAGTTTCAGGAAAGATAAGTGTTCTAAGTTATTTTAAATGAGGTAATTCTTTACATAATAAATTTACCTGTCCATAATTTTTTAAAAAGAGCAATACAAGCCATATTTTGATTAGAAAAGAGAAAAATATTTCTATTAAAAAATAGCCAGTTTTGTTTAGTCTTTCAAATTTTAACAGAAAAATACTAGTTGGACTTTCATTCAGCAATTTTACCTCTAGAAAATTATCCTGACGAATATAATATTTTAAAAAAAATTTTTTTAAATCATTAAGACACAGCTACAGTAATGTTTATTTTAATCCTATTTATAATAGCAAAAAAAAAAGCCAAACAAACAAAAAAGGAACCATCTTTAATTCCCAGCAAAAGGAACATATAAGACAAGACACTAAATATTTTTTAAAGAAAAATATTATCAGGAAAGATTATCACCTTTTTACTTTGAAAATAGAGAAACTGAAGATAAGAGGAGTAAAGAAATTTTAGAGAGAGCCATGATTTAGACCCCAGGTTTGTCTGATTCTGGAATCTCTGCAAATATCTTCCAGAATTGACCGAAAAGAGTTCCAGAGCAAACAACCAGTGAATGAAAAGTCAAGTCTTATTATGGATAATTTCAAACATACACAAAAGTAGACTAACAATATAATGGACCTTCACGTACCCATTATTCAACTTCAAAAATTATCAAATCAAAAATTTTCAAATTATGGCCAATCTTATTTCACCTATATCCCCATCCACTTCTACTCCTCATGTACTTTCTGAAAGCAAATCTTAGGTATCATATCTCTTAAGCATTAATTTTTTAAAGGAAAAAAACCATATTATTATATCCTAACAAATAAAACCTATAATTAAGAACACAAGTATAATATACTTGCACATAAACTATGTTTGCACAGTTTAAACCATAACATTGCTATAGCTTTACTTTTAGGGATAGTCAGATTAATTAGAAATAAAGAGTATGTTCCAGACATAAAGGGTGACAAAGAACAGATGTAAGAAAAAGAAAGATTAAACTAGTATACCTTGATTTTATTGAAACAGTGTAAGTATTTCCAAGAATTGCCATAGTTGGAATAAGGATAAATGCCAAAGGTTTACATGGATCGGGATTAAGTTTAAAATAATACCTATAATAAAAAGAAAAAAAAAACCATAAATCAACAAAGCAGACCTGATCATTTAAAATTATTAGAATCAATCGAATTAAATAATTTTCAAAACATTCCAATAGCAAGATGGATGTAAGAGAAATCTAAACAGCTCATGACATTTCTGATTAGTAATCTTTGCTCCAGATTATCTTTACACCCAAGGTTTTATATGAGGAATTATGTTCAGAAACTACTAAAGGAAATTAAAATATCTGGTATGGAAGCACTTCCTTTTTATAGTAAGTATATGCCTAAAATGTCATATATGGCATTTTTAAAAACAAATTAAAATATATTAAGGCTGCTCTATAACAAAACAAATAAAATGAAGATTTGTGTAAAGTAACTATACCTTATCTTTTTAAAATCTAAATTCTCTAACATTTTTCGACAGTAAAACATCTATAGCCTTTCAGAATCATGAATTTGTGCTCCTCAAATAATTCTGACTGCAAATCTCAATGTTGATTAAAATGAGGAACAAAGGAAGGATATTAACACTTGGCAACCTTTGATTTAATTTACTGAACTTATTTTGGTTCTGCCAACATAAAAAAATACTTCTAGTATTTAGATACTCTAAAAGTATTACATCACTTTTGACAATTACATTGAGTAGAAGCTCAACTACTACTTGGATGAGGTGTTCTTTTATTTAGCAATTTACCAATAAATAAAACTACAATTCACTTTTTTTGATGGAGACTGGCTGGTACAATTCACTTTTCAGCCAATTTCTGGGGAAGTTCATATTCCCCAATTCTCACAGTAAGGGAGAAAATGTGAATGTATTAAAAATAAATTTCAGGTAGTACATAGCTTCCTGTTCTTGAGGAAATCTCATGGACCATTAGGAATCTAGAAAGTCTCTCTTTAAGGATGTTTATTGTTTTGTTTGAACCACGTAAATAATAATATTTATAAAACGCACCTAAGATTCTTTAACCAATATATTAAAGATGGCATGCTGAGTAATACAATCCATGTTAACAAGTTAATCACAGTACTGTGCATGCGAAGACTATCTTCAGCATCATTTGCAGTTAAACGAAGATGGTGTACTGTGGAGTCTTTATGGTGATTGGATTTTTTTTCACTTCTTCTAGAGTGTTTGGGATTCTATAAAGCAAAAAGTAAAAATATCAAGATATTAAGTAAACAAAAAGTATTTAAGATATTTTATTAAGAATCATACGCAATTACTTGGCTAAATAAGTAGATCTTTCCATTACCACACTGATATAAAATACTGAAATCACCTTGTTTAAAAGTATTTAAAAATTGTTAGTTTTAAAACTTTTATGCCTTTGACTTACTATGTCTATTGCTGAGAATATATTCTCTATGTAATTACTCAAAGTAAAATTTAAGATAATAATTTGTAACAATGACAAAAAACATACGTACAGACAAAAATCAAGTTAAATTTAGAATGATTTAAGTATTTTGATAGTCGTTATGTTCATTTTTCTCAAAGTTACTTGAATTCATAATATCTTTTACACACTGCAAAATCCTAACCTTTTTTTTAAAAAAACAAACTCATATTTTCCTATGTTCTTTCATATTAAAGTTATGTAGAGTTTTGGAAATAAAACTTACCACAGGCTGGCTATTTTTAAAAGTTGTTAGGCTAGCTTGCAGATGAACAACCTAGGAAAAACAAATGATTAATTTTACTTTTATTTTGAAAAAATAAGTATAAGCCTTTTACTAAAACTGAGAAGCACTGTAATTCCAGATTTAAAAATTCTAAACAACTAAAATTTCATTTAAACATTTAAAAACAGCTTTTAGAAAAGATAAAACAATAACTACCGAGGCTTGCTACCATAGATTTAAAAAAACAGCAATGGAAACAAAACAATACAAACTTCCAGAGTATGTTGGGGTCAGGATATATTGCTATACCTTTTACATTACTATAAAAACTTATATTTGAATGATGCTATGCTATAGCAACTTAATATGTCTAGTGAGTCAAAGATTTGATTATATTCAGTATAGTAAAAGAACTTAACATATTTTTTTTTTTTTTTGTCTTTTGTCTTTTTCCGTGTCCGGCAACGGATCGCAACCCTCAGTGTTGCCCCCGTACCGGACCGGGGACCGGCAACGGGATCGCAACCTTCGGTGTTGCTCCCGCGCCTCGCTCAGCCAGTGAGCGGGAACCGGTCTGTATGTGGGATCTGAACCCTCGGGCGGGAGCGCCGCCGCACTTCCCAAGCGGCGCACTATCCAGTGCGCCACCGGGCCGGCCCGAGAACTTAACATATTTTACGTATTCTAAATATTTGAAAATCTAAACTCAATTATATATGGTGGTGAAATACTTATAAAAACCTGAGAAAATTTATAAACTTAATTTATTAGGTTTGCCTAAATCATTTTGAGAAAGTTTTGCTTATGGGTCAGCTGTTTGAAAGTTCTAATAAAAATACTAAAAATACATTCATAAATTAAAGTAGCTCTAAGTAGTTTTTTAAAATGCACATAAATTTCCTTTGGAAAACTGAAAATAATCTGAAATGTGCATGTATTTGTGTTAAAAGCAGAGGCAAATATATCTTTGTTTAAAAAAGAAAAAATTATTATCCAATGTGATATTAACTGTTGGTCCATAAGATTAATGTGGAGAGTAGGCAGTTTTATAACCTCCTGGATTTTCCTGCAAAGCCATCAGCCTTCTTGGAAGTGTTTGTTGCTTCCTCCGTAAAATTATTAGCCTAATTATTTTTATTATTGTCTTATGATTCTTCAGCAACATTTGTAACATTTTACATTATCTCAGCATGATTGATAGCTTAATCTGATTGACATAACTCTTTGTTTTGTCTCTCACACATAGAGAGATTTGAATGAAAATCACTCTGATAAAATTTTTTTAAAAAATTAATTTTCAAGAGCAATGAAGCAACCTGAAACAGATATCTTCTCCCTTTTTTTTAAAACAAAAAAACCTAATTCAGATCAATAATTTCAATTCTACAGTTAACTGTATACAATTTACATAATTAGGATGTTTAAAAAATCTTTTTTCATTTAAACCTGTTATATAACAGAAGGTCACTACAGTGGTAATTAAAATTTTTGTTAACAATGCCTACAAGACATTCTATACCTACCTGCCCAATACAAAGCCCAGTCATTCTGGCTTTATGGATCTGACATACCTTACACACATAGTAAAGATAAGAAAGAAGAATGGCAAGTGCTCCACAAGCTGTCCAACTAAGTATGGTCAAAACAACTGTCAAAATGAGCAAGTCAGGTGATATCATCTTGATGTCTTTAGGAAGTTCAGAGGGTCTGAAATAACAAGAATAAAGTTTTAAAAAATATATTCACAGATATTTATGCAGTCACATATAAGAAGAAAACAATATAGTACTCTGCCAGTCTCTCCTGTTTATTAATATATCAAGTATCATAAGGTAAACAGTAAGATTTTTTTAAATAAAGGCAAGTGATAACATACATTTGATTTTAAGTTCTGTAATACACTGTGATAGTTCCTCTTCCATTTAGATACACTGTGGCTGATACTTGTATTAAGGAAGAAAAAATGTTACAAAAGATACATTAACTTTACACCCTGTGCCATACATTCCCAATCTTGATAGGAGGAGGGACAATTTTCTATTTCTTAAAGCACTGAAATTACTCAGCTGCTTGATGGTGTTACTATCAGAAACCCCTGTCAGAAGCATCTTAAAAGGGTGGAGAAGGAAGCACCATACCATAATGCCCTCTGTGACAAGAAATTTCATAACATGTCTGGTAAAGAGGAGTGGCAATGGAAACTAGATTATTTATCAGGAAAGCCTACCAGTAACTTCAAACTGTGTCTTTGGGCCTATAATAAAACTTTAGACAATGTTTTTGGAGCTTTTATACATCTCATCTAATCTGATGCTAAATATCTTCATTGGAGTTTCTTGACCTTAGATTTGATTATAGAAATCAGTATATAAAAGCATTGCAAGAGAAACAATTTCTCCTGGGAAAGATTTACAACCATGAAATTAAAAAATACCTGTGTAATTTGTCAAAATTTGTGATTAACTCTTGAGTACTAAGGTCAAAATCAAATGTAGCATTTAACTTGCAATAAATGATTAGCTCTGACAAACACATAACTTTGAACACCAACCCATACTTTTGCTAGTTATACATATTTCCTTAGAAACTAGTTTAGTAAAAACAATTAATTTGAAGGTTCCCTATCAGAATATAAATTTTTTCTTAATTAAGAGCAATAAGAAAGCTTTTAGTCATTCATTCTTTACCTTTTCAAAGTTAGCCACAAAGAAGAAAGGAGTCTCACAGATGTAGAAGAGAATAGGCCGCTCCAGTAGGCAGTACATGTTCCAAACAGAAAGAGAATCAAGGATACAAGGGGGAAACACATACTCTGACTAGTTAAAAAGATGGCATCTAATTCTGGTAACAATAATATGTCCCATAATTCTTTAAACCATTTATACCTGTGAAAAAAAAGAAAATATAAAAGAAAAAAAAAACAAACCAACAAATGACATTCAAGGATTGAACATTTGAGATGTTTGATGATTCACTAGAGTCCCTAAAGTTCCATGGTATTTAAATTGTAATTATACTAAAAAAAAAATTTTCATTCTTTGTATGAAACAAGTCATTTATCTTCCAAGTGAGCCTGAGTCTCAGTACAGCTTTACTGCTCTCTATTGATCCTTGTATAAAGTAATGTTTTTTCTTTTTTTTTTTTTTAGTTAGAAAGCCAGTAGGTAGTTGTAATGATGAAAGAAAAGAGATCTAAGTAATGATTTTTAACCAAAAAACACAACATATCAATAAATTAAGAATGGAATATTAACTAGTATTAGAAGTCTAAAATACAGTGTGCATGGGAAGTAAGAGAAAGTGATCAGAAGCACTGTTTCATCTATAACCTATAATTTGTGTTTGTGAATCTGGGATACTCAAAGATCATGGACCACGTACATCCATTTTGCAAATATTAAAGTCCTAGTATATTTATAGTCTATGTTTAGACTGATATAGAAGTTCAATAATTACTTCTGAAATGATTATACTATTGAAGTAAATGACATACTTATTAAGCCTTTGCTTAACAGAAAAATCCCATTTAATGAAATAAGTCAATGGCCAAATCTGTATAAAAATTCATATAGCATTATGGAACTAAACATGTTTTTTTATATAAAACAAAATTAAAATCATTATCACAGATAATAAACTTACCCCAACAGAAACTTAATCATAATTACAAAAGGATCAACTTTGTATGGTTTGGCTTCCTTATCCAACATGGTAGCATATTCTAAGCAATAACCTGATGATTTAAAAAAAAAAAAAGTTATATGCAACAGAGAATTCACAATATAATAGGGTATTATAGACACCCTGTATTGTCTATAACAATAACACATTTTATTTCAGAGAAAGCAAGGGTCTTCATTACTATCATAGAAACCCTTTTTGAAAAATTAAAAATTACTAGGGACAGCCTGTGGCTCACTTGGGAGAGTGTAGTGATGATATCACTAAGGCCGGGTTTGGATCCTTATACAGGGATGACTGGTTAGCTCACTTGGGAGAGCATGGTGCTGACAACACCAAATCAAGGATTAAGATCCCCTTACTGGTCATCTTTAAATAAATAAATAAATAAATAAATAAATAAATAAATAAATAAATAAATAAATAAATAATAAATAAATAAAATATTACTGTAATTCAGTGGTTCTTATATAAGAGTACACATTCAATCATTTGTAAAACAAATTCAGGAAGTCAAAGCTGGGTTGTCACCATCTATATTTTCACAAAGCTCCACAAGTGATTTTTTTTTTTATCAGCACTGTGTTTTAACCAAGTGAGCTAACTGACCAGCCATCCAAAGGTGACGTTTTAAACAGTTTTATTGAGATATAATTCTCATACCATACAATTCATCCATTTAAAATATATACAATTCAATGGTTTTTAATATACTCACAGAGTTGTGCATCCATCACCACAGTCTTAGAACATTTCATTACCCCCAGAAGAAACTTTGTTCTCCTTAACCATCACCCCTAAATTCCCCATCCCTAGGCAACCACTAATCTACTTTCTGTCTCTACAGATATGCCTATTCTGAACATTTCATATAAATGGAATCATATGATATGTGATTATATGATTAGATGAAAGGACTGGTTCCTTTCACTTGGCATTTTTTAAGATTCATTCATGTTGTAACATGTATTGGTACTTCATTTCTTTTTATTGCTGAATAATATTCCATTTATGGATATACTACTTTTTAAAAAAAATTATTGAAACATTGAATGTACATATTTATGGGATTCAGAGAAATATTTTGATACATGTATACAATGTGTGATGATCTATTCAGGGTAATTAGCAGACTCTCCTTATTGCAAGACTTAGTCATTTCGTTGTGATTTGCACATTTGGTCCTTCTCTTCTACTCGTTTGATAACATATGGTTAAATCATTATTAATTATAGATTCCTGGATCATTTATCCATTCATCAATCGATGGACATTTGGGTGGCTTCCACTCTTTGGTTATTACGAATCATACGCCTATGAACATTTGTGTACACATTTTTGTGTGAGTGCATGCTTTCATTTCTCTTGGGTACACTCTTAGAATGGAGATGCTGAGTTATATGATAGCTCTAATGTTTAGCTGCTTGAGGAATTGTCAGACTGTTTTCCAAAGCAGCTATACTATTTTACATTCCTACCAGCAGAGTATGAGAGTTCCAATTTCTCATATCCTTGTTAACACTTTTTTTTTTATGTCTTTTTTTATTACAGTCATTCTAGTAGGTATGATCAACAGGGGATTTTTGACTTGCATCCTTGGTTCAGAACTACCCTCTTTAATTGGTTTGAGACATAACCATACTTAAATCCTCTAGATTAACCAACATCAAATATCCCTGGGTTTTCTGTGGATTATGTAGATGTAAATTCTGTACCTTTGAGAATTAATTATCAAGTCAGTTGAAACTAAGAATGGAGTGTCTCATTCAGACTTTTAAGCAAGATAGATACCTATATTCAAGTCTGATTGATATCATACTGCCAAACTAATATCTTAATTAAAAGGTTGGGTCTGGGACAGATCACACTGAATTGTGTTTTCCTCTTTCTGGAACATAGGTTAAATCAGGTTAGAATGAATACTAAAGACAGACTTGAAACTGCACAAAAGTCATTAAAAGGCACTAAGTAGCTGCAGAAGGATTTGGCACAGTGGAAACAATTTATGAACTGCTTTTATAATATTCTGGCCCCACTCTTCTTTCCTATTTCTTGCCTCCCTTGATTACTATCCAAGCCCAACAAATCAATGTTTAGACTTCTAGGAAACTGTTCTAATTGCTATGCTCTAGGGGCTGTTTTGTCCATTGTTTTACATATTCCACATCTGCCTCTCCATATCCATTCTCCACCCGCCACTCTTCTCTGAACTCTGGAAGGCTAACTTTTATGGATTGGCTTCCAGTTAGGTTTGGTAAACGGGGGTACTGGCAAATAGGAGGGTAGAAGGAAATAAAATTAGAGTATGAATTCCCCCCCTCCTTTTTCCCTGCTGAGTCATAGGTTAGCAGTGCCTATGACTACAGTGTTCCTGTACCCAAGGCTGCAATACCAGTTATGTTGCCCATTCTTATAGCCCTCCAGGATTACTCCCTCTCTTGCCTTGGTACCTAAATTAATAACCAGATGGCTCTGTTGCTAGTCTGGTACTTTTATCATTTCTTGTTGGATTCCCTTAACGCTGCACATACCTTGAAAACAGCTCCTTCATTAACATCTCTATCATTCCATTCAGTGTGCCAGGACCTAACTAACATAGCTGATATAGCCCAAATATTACACTGAATGCATACTGTGTGCTTGGCACTATGTTAGGCACTGGGAATAAAAGAGCAAGATGCCCTCTATGAGGCTATATTTTTTAAGGGGTCCTTAGACTAGAGGGAAGAAACTTCAGGCACCAGGGTACAAAATGGAGAAAACAAGGAATTTTCTTGGAGATGTCTTAAAACTTAGAGAATCCCAAATCCCTACATACTTGGGAGAGATGGGCCGTGAATTTTCAAGAAATTACCTGTCTTATTTAGCCACACTTAGGAGGAAAAAGTAATAATGAATCATTGGCCCAAGGAAGAAAGGAGGAAAAGAGAAAGGGAAGGAGGAAAGGAGGGAGGGAAGGAAGCAGGGAGGAAGAAAGGGAGGAAAGAAGGAAAGAGGAAGGAAGGAGGAAAAGAAGGAAGGAAGGGGAGTAGAGAGAGAAGAGATAAAAGGGAGGAAAGAGGGAAGGAACCAAAGGAGGATGGAAGGAGACAAACAAAGATGACATGGAAGGAAGTTACGGAGTGAGTGCCTCCTACCAGAAGTCTACAGCACTACGAAGTACTCGCAGCAGCAACAACAAGAAGAAAAGGGGCAGGGGAGGGTAGGAAGAAAACCTGAATCTGATCAAGCCTGTAATTCTAATTACCAACTTACAGAATATAGAGACCATGTTCAACTCCACCATTGGGTTGTAATCAGAGAAATACAATAATTAATAGAATTAAATACACACACAGAGAGAATTAAGAAATACAATAATTAATAGAATTAAATATACACACAGAGAGAATTAAGTTGTTCTACTTTAATATTCATAGCAAAAGGAACTTAAAAATATAAGCATTCTTACCTGTTGAAAAAAGAGAGTATAACTGTCCTCCATAAGCAAGAAGGATACTAGATATAACATAAGCAGGAAGAGCTCCACCATGAAATCTAACTACCTGAAAGACAGGCAAATCCATGGGAAACTTCTGAATATTCATATTAATGAAATAAACGTACTTTCTCATAAAGTAAAAAAGTTGTTTTCACTTTAACCTTTCCTGACACACGCCACAAAGTTATTTTCAGTAATGAGTGTCAAAACTCTTAAATAAAAATTTTCTAATATATAGCATATTAGAAACACATCTGAATTTTTCATCAAAGGCACATAATAGAACATATAAGTGAGTAGCATATACTACAAACTGTTTTTCGTGCCAATAAAAGGCATGTTTATTGAGCATTTAATATGTTCCAGGGATGATACTAAACACTTTATATGCATTATCTCACGCCCACTTCCCAATATCCTTTGAGGTAGTTTTTATCCCTAATTTTTTTTTTTTTTTTTTTTTTTTTTTTTTTTTT